GACCCATAATTCATATAATTGTATAATTCATATAATTTTCAGAAAATATTTTGCATGGTTGTAATATTTTTCAATGAATTTATTTGGTAATCGTCTTCAGTGTGTAAGAAAAGTAACATTTCAAAAATTGTATTTTTTTTAAGTAAAGAGGCAATTGCGGTAAATGTACTTAAAAATTAATTGAAATGGTAATAAGTTTGTTAAGTGAAAACAAATGTTTAGAAAATGGTATATTTTTATCATTAACGTTTCACAAACCTAGTACTTCACAAGATCGTCGGCATAGTATAGCGTAGTATATATAGCGTAATATACAGTATAGTATAGCGTCTCTAATTTGTGATTAAAACTGTAATAATGTAGTTCATTATGAATTTTATTCTATCGCATGACGGTTTTCTTTAACATTCACAGTTTCCTGGATTGGATTTGGTTCACTTCTAGATTGACTATTGAAATAATTGACACATGTGCAATCTTCTCTCGCGGTAAGGAGAGAGACCTTCTGTGACACAACATACGAAAGACAAGACTCTTCAACAGTTTAATCCAACAGGTATGAACAAACAGGATTAAACGACTTGTTATGATCAATTTGTTTATTGAATTTGAATATTAAACAATTTTCTTCATCAAATTAGACGGAGTGTTTTACATTTCAATTCCTTTTGAACTATAATATTTCGAGTATATTCCTGCAGTTCGTAAGCAAATTTTCATCTTCGCCCTATGATGTACTAGTTTCCGACAGCATTAAAGTATATTAGTGTATATTGTGCCTTGAAATTACCAAGCTTGCAGTCACTCTCGACACAGAGTGAGAGAAGAAAGATGAGAAGGAACGCAAGGGCTGCGGGTGGAAGAGTCAGAGGAATTTGAAAGGTCATATTCACGATTGTTTTCTGCTCATTGAGATTCTGAAAGGATTCGAGGAGTCGTCTCCGCTGGCAGAGACGTTTCCTCCTGCACAATCTGTAAGAGCTCCAAGGGGATCTTTCAACGAGATTAATATTACGTTACCTTCTTGACTATCACTCACCAGCGATTCTTTTCAGCAATTTTCACATTTGTTGTTCCCTCTTACCCATATCGCTTCTTGGAATTTATACTTTTTTTTTTTTGGTCAGGAATTTCATCATTATTTTTTGTACAACCTAGTATGTGAAGTATTAATAGTTTGTTACTCTTGTATCTGAACGCTTCCTACTGAAGGTTACATTATTTCTTTATTAGTAAACTTTCTTTCTCTCATAATACAGGCTACCATACCTTCATTCTTCCCTTTTTTTGTAATATCACTAATTTTCGGTCTAACAAGAAACCCTTCCAATTTTTATTTATTCTTCGTTTCATTTTGTAGCAAATAATTAAGAATTCCTTAATTTTTAATTAAGTTCTTATGTTACCTTCAATATCGGATAGCCCAAAGATAGCTAAGCATGTTCAATAATGTGAATGAATTGCCTTTCTACCGGCTTTTTGAGGTTGAGCGATATATTATTTTCTTATCAATCCTCCCCACAAAACGCCCATGAATCTCATCACGTTTATTCTTGTTCCAAATACAACTCCGGAGAGCAAATATCGTGTGAAGGGGAGAAAAGCTCCCTATCCTCTAGTGTGGGATATTTCAATGAAGGTTTGTCTCTCATTCGCATTCTGACAGTTCGCACGACGTCTCCGGCGAAGGAGAAATATTCCATCCGCAAAATCTGCCGACGCGACGTGACAGGATAGGCGCGCTGCGCCAAGGGCGCTGTTACATCACCCAACAATGCGCTCCCGCGCGTTGCGGGGCGGGGGGGCCGGCGAGAGGGGGTAGCGCGGGGCCGCGGAGTGGTGGCAGCGGCTGCGGCGGTGGAAGGGCGGCCGCCAGGGTGGGGACGGCGTCCTGGAGGGCAGAGAGACGTCGTGGGGCGGCGAGGTGGGGAGTCGGCAGGGGCGGCGGGGAGGCCGGCCGCTTCCCCTGCGAAGCTTCCCCGCTGCCGCGACCGGGACGAGACGAGGAGAGACGAGTCGAGACTAAATGGGACGGGACGGGACGGGACGGGACGGGACGGGACGGGACGGGACGGGACGGGACGGGACAGGACGGGACGGGACGCGAGTCGAAGGGACGAGACGAGACGTAACGGGCATGCCTCCTCCGAGCAGCGAGGCCTGCCGGCCCGACCCGACCCGACTCAAAGCGCGACGCAAACACCCACAAGTTTGCGGTAGGACTAAGCGACTGAGAAGACACGTCGCTGCTCCGCGGTGACAACTTCGCCAAGACGGGCTGTGAAGGAATTATGGACAGTCAACGAGGTGCTTAGCGACTTGTGGGAACTTCTCTTCCCTTGTGGAGCTCAAACAACGAGCGATTACTGCGATTCTGTTGAGGCGAGCCTGAGAAAGCCTCGACATCACTGTTACTGTTTCATCACAAACTTCGATTATGAATGGTCAGTTTTCAGAAAGAAACATGTTTATCTCATTCATCTTAAACGTGGATGATTTTTTCGATGGAGTTCATTTCCAAGCGAGACATTATTTATGATGCATTAAATAGTAGAATGTTGACAGTACCTAGCCTATAATCAAATTAATTTTTTTGTAATTTTCTTTTCGATTATTTGGCCTTCTTTCTGTTATAGTAGTATCCCAAGTTAATACTTACAGCCAGTTGAATCTGATACTAGGCAAAAGCCAGTGCAAACTTTCAAGCAAGAGAAAACAAGCCAGCTTATCATGCAAACATTGCATGACCGGGTACGTGAAGAAAAAAGAAGTTGCATGTGCCAGTTCGCAGGGATAAAGAAGAAGCTATGCCATACGCTGTGAGGCGCTAACGACATACTACAGGAAGATAAACAAAGTTGACGACTTCGTCAGCCTAAGGGAATTTAAATCTGATGAACGTGGCCAAAAACTACCTAACTGGGATTATAGTGATCGTGAGACAACGCGCTATTAAATGACGTTCCTAATATTTCAGCACCTTCACTAAACTGTTAGAGATTCCCTTGTATATTTTTATTATTTCCTGAATATCGTATTTGTAATTCCCTTCCCCAAATTTCCAGCATGAAATTTCAAAAACGTTCGAGCACTTGAAAGTAGTAATTTTCTATACAACAAAATTGCCAGCATAACATAGTGACTAAGTTCATATTTCAATTTTTTTCATGAACCCAGGTAAAAATCTTTCGTTTCTACAATGTGCCGAATGTGCAATGTGCGAAATGAATATGAAGAAAGAGGAAATACAAGGGCGTGGAGGTCATCTCGGGCGAGTGAGTTGGGTAGATAGCGTTTCTTTAGTTCCAACACATGAATAACAGTGTTCTTCTTCTTACTTTTATTTTAGGCTAGAGCCTGTTTCTTTACAAAGGATACTTAATTAAAATTTTTAAAAAAACCTGATGCATTACATTTATGTAGTCATATTTATAAATTGGCACTATATTCATATTGTCTTGTTTCACAAAATGTTTTTCCACCTAGTTCTTGGACATCCTAGTCTTCTCCTTCCTTCCGGTCTTATATCTCTAGTCACTTTCACCAGTCTCTCTTCTTCCATTCTGCCTACAGTGTTAGTATCAGTTATTATTTCATATTTTAACTTTTACAGTATTGTGATCACGGGAATTTTATATCGGGAATATCGGAAAAGAAAAACGAAACATCGATGACAAAATATCGCCGTTAATACATCGATGATTCTACAAAAACGTTTTGAAAACATTAACATCAATGTGGCATCCCTAAGACAGGCTCCCTCCTCCGCGCCGCCCGCGCTGGCAGGGAGAGATAAAGCGAGGGGCGGGGGCGGGGGCGGGGCGTGATTCACTCGACGCGGGAAGGGGGCGCGGAGGGAGGGCGTGGCGCGACTCGCACGCGCTCTGCACGCGCGCGCGGTACCTCGGGTGCGTCACCCGCTCGCGCAGCGCCGCGCCGCGCCGGGCGGCGGCGGCCCCTTCTGGGAAGGCCGGATGACGAGCCGACTGCCCGCGCGCCGACAGGGATATCCTGGCTTCGAGATTACGCGCACACGCCTCGGCTCGGAAAAGGAAAACTTCGCCCCGGAATTAGACTCCCGGATGCAGCTCTTGATGTGAAACCGCTGCCTGCGTGCGTTCACATGCTGCATGTAAGAATGTACCCTTGTGTAGGCACGTTAGGTTGGGTGGGTGGATGTGCGAATATGTGCGTGAGTTATACTAGGATTTATTTAAACGTGCAGTTGGCGTAAATCAGCCCTTTACGGTTTCATCCAATCGGAACCTGAACGACCACTTAGTGACGTCACTGTAGCGACATTTAAGCTCCCGTTTGGATGAAATCGCAGCTCATTTACGTCAAATACACGACTAAATAAATGGAACTAAAGAAACCCTCTACATACAGAAAAGTACCAGGTTATATATGTTATTTGAGCTCCATATAGGTGCATCAGAACAAACGACCCAACCCTCCGAAAGATTTAGTCATTCCCATGACCCAATATTAATTTACGGTTTATGTGCCTTCACTGTCCACGAAACAATAAGTTACTACACTACACACTATACGTTACGAAACTGCCTGATTATCATGCAGCTATCGGATGCTGAATAATCAACAAGACAATGCCAGCTCAGCTTTCTCGTCGGCTATCTCATTACCATGGGATACCGTATAAAATACACCACAATGGAAAGTCAATTTGTATGCATTCAACACTTCCGTGGCACCTAAACGAATGGGCTAAATAATGACAGAGGCAAGAGACTTACTGTTAATTTTTCAGGCATTAAAATTAAATTAAAGATATAGTATAATCGGGTACGTATGCAATTAAATCAGTTAATGAGACTTGCGATATTTTTTTGTGTGCATCAGTCTCACCCCATCTTATTTCAGCTAGTAAAACTGTGTACGCTTTGCGACGAATCCTCCGTTCTCGGCTTCTAACGCTGCCTCCGGCGCTTACAGGTGGTGCCTCAGAAGCATGGAGAACCACTTCGCCCTCCTAAAGCAGCCCGTGTCCTCCCGGGAGGGCCCCCGACATCAGTAGCCAACGGAGGCACCCCGCCGCCGATCCACCACGCAGCCGCGCAACGCTGCGTCTGGTAAGCCCGCGAACTAGCTGGCGACGAGTACCCCGCCACCGGACCGAGGAGCATGTGGACGCCCTCCCACCCCGCGGCGCAGCGTCCTCCCTCCCACACAGCGGCGTCCTCCCACCCCGTCCCGGCGCGCCCTCCCACCCCTCGGCCCCCACCGCCGCGCAGCATCCCCGAGACGCCGCCCCGCCCCACCCGGGCGCTAGACAACCCCACCCCGCCACCGCGCGCGGCCCCAAGACGCGCACAGGCAGCGCTAGGCGCGGACGACGCCCGAAACAGACGCTCACATCCCCTCCTCCACCTCCTCCTCCACCTCCACCTCCGCCCTCCGCGGGCGGTGGGCGATTTGAACGGCCCAGTGCTCTCCACGTGCTCGTCCGCGGCCGGCTGGTTGACAGTTCGTCCAGGCACGGCTGAGTGTTGATGCCTATCCTCTGCGAGAACAATGGAGTTGCGTAAGAGACTTACGTTCGTTTTCTTCACAAGCGACGTCAAACGGTTACATTCGTCAGTGAAAAGTGAAGAAATACAGTAAGTGTTCGTCATCGTGATTGATAAAACAACTCGCGAGGTTTCTACAAGTGAGAACAGCAGTCATCCCATGTCAGCTGGCCAATTCAACTAGTACTTCTAAACTTAGAGGAATTTTGAAATAAATATACACACCCTACAGTGAAAAGTTCCTGTCACAGTCACAAACACAGCTGACAACGTCTAAGGGGGTGCACTGGTCACGCGGCTTGTGCGTGCGGAGGCGGCGCGAGCGCGGGCGTGCGTGCGTGTGTGAATGAACGGCGTGCGCGGGGCGTGCTCAAGCGGCCGCTGCACCGGCCTTACATGGCACCTCTCCGCGCCGCGCCGCGCCACGCCCTCGGACAATGGCTCTGGGTGGATTCCTAGCGTGGGCACAACTCCACAACAATTCATGTTCTGTCGGGGGGGCACATCTCCCCGGGGTGGGCACCTGAACTTTTCGCTTTTATCCGCACCCCCGGCCGCCGCTCATGGACGACTACCCGTTATCCGGGTGCAGTGGGAACCCAGTTTGACCCCTCAGCAACCTTCCCATTCAATGCCTGGGTTGGGCCGCCCTGCTAGCTCAGAGCTCCTAGCTTTCCAGGCTAGTGCCGGCGTCAATATCGTCGTATGAAGACGTTTCACTCACATGCGCCGGGACACCGAGTCCCTCCTCTTTGCCCAGAGTATTGGGCCACTGCCACGACGAAGACGAGAGCCCTACTGGGGGCCACCCGAACTCAGGGCCGGGTGGCTCGGTGCCCCATCCCTTCTCCTCACTGACTACACCGTAAAGCTAACGACGTGAGTAACGCCGAGAACCTGACAGTGGGTAAATTCCCGCCGGACTTTTATACGTGGACTCCAGAGCGTTGCTAAGAACCTCATTCACTCAATTCTGTCCAAAGGTCGGCGTGCCAGGGGCCCAACCGGTGGTTTACCGGCAACCAAGAGCTAGATCATTACCTACTCACTGCCTCCACCTTGAAGCTAACGGCGTGAGTTGCGCCGTGAAACTAAGGGTCCGCATGGTCGTCTACAACTCTCCACCAGAGACCATGCCTCCTACTCACTCACCATCCTCCCCAGCGGGGAGTGACTCGGGATGAATGGAAAAGCTAAAGCGAGGCTTTAACAAATTAACTGTTGCTTGAGCAGTACCGAATTCATTAAGACAAGCACAGCGAATACGCACCAGGAGTCCCCAAAGAATGCTTTGAGTCTACACAAAAGAATTAACAACAAAGATTCCAATGTACGTTCTACGGTGGAACAACTGTTATTGAACGGACTTTCTTTCAAATGTGTAGAAATTGTATCTTGAAGATCGTTGACATAGATCAATTCCTTGCTTATTTTCTGCGGCAAAATTATGCTGGATGAAAATATTTTATAGGGAATGCAATTTGTTGCTTCGGAATAAAAAATATTGAGAATCATGGTGTGTAATTTGTATATTAATTTAAAATATTTATCGGTGATCCGATAGTTACGGGTTCAAAAGATACGATCTCGGACAAAAGTGTTTGCTTTCAAGTCATTTAATAATCATAATAATATCATACGTTTTTCGTTTATGACTCACAGACGGAATTTTAACACAGAAACCGCTATTTACCTTCGGATTTCACTAATGACCTCTATGTGAGCTGGCAATGTATGTCTAGGTCCCAGGCCTAAGCACTGTGGGTCTGTCTTGCCATAAGGTCAGGAGTTGATCTATGAATCACTGTGGAGTAATCTGAAGTAGAAGTACAATAATTGACGTAATTAACATTTTCAGTAGTGGAGCCATGATTTGCTAACTTAAGGCTATCAAGCATGCAAAATGAATACTTTTCTAATGGATGTTGATTGTACTTGTACTTCTACAGAAATATCAGTAGTTTCCACACGAATTTTCAATTTCTAAGGCCTCTGTCCAGTCATTCATGCTTTACAGCAGTCTTCTGCTACAAACCGGTCTGTGTCGGGAATCCCAAAGGTGTGGCCGGGAAAACTGTAGTCTACCTCATGCGAACAAAACCGCGCGTCCTGAATTTTCGTTTCATTGCCAAAGATTTAACTGTTGAACAAGTTACGCTTACAATGTTAACTATGAGTGCGTGAACGACACACGGTTGCCGGTTGTTTCAGTTGATTCAATTCAATCGGTTAGATTTATGGTCAGATCACAAAGATTTATAAAACTACAAAGAGTTAAAGTAAAGGTTCGAAATAAGAAAGAAATGATTATGACAGCAGAAATACTGACTTGATAGATAGTAAGTATGTTATCAATGACGTCAATTGCGTCAATCGGTTCTCTTACCTCCTTCATTAAATTTATATTCTCTCTCTCCCTCTCTCTCTCTATCTATCTCCCCCTCTCTCCCCCTCTTTCCCCTCTCTCCCCCTCTCTCTCTCCCTCTCCCCCTCTCTCACCCCCTCTCCCTCTCCCCCTCTCTCTCTGGGTAAGGATTCTACAAGTTAATAAATTAATTACTGAAGTACCAATGTGTGTTTACTTCATGGAGAATAAGGAGAATCCCTAACAAACAACAATATTCTAAATATACCGTAACTTTGCTGTTACAAACTTATGGAATTTCTCATGCTCAGATCAAGATATAACGTCCTTCCAGAGGTCTGACACATCTTCGCCCCGATACGTCACATAGGTTTTACATTTTTTGAGTAAATAATGTAAATCTGTAACTAATAAACATATTATTCGTTTACGAGGCAATAAGTATTAATTATTGTTATAGTGTAAATTGATTCCTAAAGCTCCTTTCGCTCTCTCTCTCTCTCTCTCTCTCTCTCTCTCTCTCTCTCTCTCTCTCTCTCTCTCTCTCTCTTTCTTTCTTTCTTTCTTTCTTTCTCTTTTTTTAAAATTATGCATTGATTGTCTAAATTAGGAAAAGGATACCGCAGTGTTCTTAAAAATAACTATAATGACGTTTCGTCCTTTCAGCACGTCTCATCTCCACTGTGCGTTGCCGGCAGCGCCGCTCGCATCCCGTGTGGTGGAAGGGGCGACGGCGACGCGGTCGGCTTCACAGAAAGAGTCGAGCGAAGACCGTTGCGTCGCCACATCCGACTGAGGCGCTGCCTCCTACATCCGCTGCCGCACTCTTCGGCGAAGAGGCACGCCTCTCGGCTTTTCATTCACTCTTCTGGAGAACCAATTAACATTCAGATGGCGTGTCAAACCGGTTAAGCCCGACTAGCACTGTTCTGTCATTCTCTTTCTTATAATCAAAAATGTCCACGTCTGCCAAGAAGTAGTAAAAAAAAGTACTTCTGTTTATCGGTTTCGTGCATCACTAAACTAAATTAATCCCCATCATTAGTGATCAAAGTGGCATTTTAAAATTAAAATTTACAGAGAAATCGTCATTTTTTTTATCAAGGTGTAAAAGTCACAGACACTTTTTAAGAGAGAAAGGAATAACACTTGTTGGCTAGTGTGAAGATTGCAGATGTCTGAAGAATATGTTTGCGGCTACAACTTCTCCTTGTTTCGGTTAAATATTCAATAAAGATGCAGAAACGGAAAATCTTTCATCATCTGATCCAACAGTAATAAAAAGAAGGTTCCTCTGCGATTCAATTCAACCGGTCTCCCGCCATGTGTGATAGTGTACTGCATGTTAGTGAAAGTGTGTGTAAATAAAGGGTGAGAATAGGACAAGGAAGAGGAAGGAAAGATCGCGCCCGGGGCGTGGCCCGTTTGTTAGGGTGCTGCTCCGGCAATCGCCTGAGGTTAATCGGAGATTCTCCTTCAGACAGCGACTGAATTCAACCCTAGCTGTCAAGCTACTGCCACCGTCGGGACTCGACTCGAACCTAGGACCTCCCGGTCCGAGGGACTGCAGTGGCTTCAATTGCTACCCTGCGCCACCTGATCCATGAGGGCTTTCCTCTCCCTCCGATCTGGAAGACGACTGACCGGAAGACAACTGTTCTTCCTCCGAAGCCCAGAGTGAAGGTGCGCTGGCTGGCTCGTTCCGCGAGGATCCCCCAAGGCGTGAGGGGGTGAGTCAGCGACGCTGCACTCGGCCGGAAGCGCGCACCCCGCCGCTGCGTCATCCTCAGCTTCATGCCACGCGCCAATCCCAGGCACGGGGAGGCCTTATGGGTCGCCGACTTTCCCTATCCATACTTTTTTTAATTAAAAATATATATTAGTCCCGGCGCGAATCCACAGGGAGGGAAATGAGGGAAATTTCACATCCCAAAATTTTTCAGTAACTATTAATTTTATCTTATTTTGATTCTTCGAAGCAAAAATATTTTGGCACAAACATTAAAACGAATAAAACTGTATCACGATATGAGCTGAGCTTAGCCTGCGTCATTCTACATGATCTATAATACAACACAATAGACAAAAACATTTTTAATCCCCTCCCAAAATTCGTCTCTGGATCCGCTCAGGCTATAGTCTGAAATATGTTTAACTATTTAGTTTAGCATGGTGCCTCAAGCGCCGGGTACTACTTTCGTATTGATAATGTCTTCGTGTGCTATGGAAGTTCAAAATAATCTGAACCACAACCTGGATTTTCACTAAAATTCATTCTCCTCGATCGATCAAGCTGATGTCGTATCCTCTTGAATTTTAATGGGATATTTTAAACTTTTGGGGGCACTCGAAAAGGATCATTTCGGACTTTGCCCCTATGGTGTTGGAATTAATACAGGGCATTAATTAAAGTAGCCCTTGTTCGTGCTCGTCCAAGAATGAAGCACTTGGTTTATTTCCAAGAATTATTTTGGCATAAAAATGGGTTGGAAATTACGCGTTGCCAGACTCAGTGTTGTTTGATGTAAAAAGGTCGAAAGACGAAGTCTCGACGCCCCAAAACAGAAATGTCTGGCGATGCGTCAACTAATGATATTTAACTTTAAATAAGTAATTTGAATTGCTTTATCAGAATGATCTTAAAACCAAACATAGCGTCACGCTAAGAAATTAACAACAATTTTCGTCAATTTTATTCAATCAAAAATCAATTATTTTTTTTCAATAATGTTGTGTTTTCCACGATATTTGAGTAAAGATAACAATTTTTTTCATTTTCCTCTTTCATTAAATTTGTTCATGCAAACTGAAGAATTGTTGAAAATTATAGAAAATAAAAATGTTTTGTTTTTCATAATTCAGTATACAACCTGCTCCTGGGTTCACATATTGTTTCTCCAATTATTTTCCAGATACTACATAATTTTCATTGGAGTGAAGTGCGCGCATGTCCGCGCACGTGTGTGCTTGTGTGTATGTGTGTGCTTGTGTGTGTGTGTGAGAGAGAGGGAGCGGGAGAGAAAGAAAGAGAGAAAGAGAGAAAGAGAAAGAGAGAGAGAAAGAGAGAGAAAGAGAGAAAGAGAGAGAGAGAAAGAGAGAGAGAGAAAGAGAGAAAGAGAGAGAGAGAGAGAAAGAGAGAGAGAGAGAGAGACAGACAGACAGATGGAGACAGGGAGGGAGGGAGAAAGAGACACAGTTAGTGTTATACAATGCCCGCACCCACAAACCAAATTTTAAATGGTGTTGGTGACGTTAAAACAACATACATTTCATACCGTTTAACCGAGACATTAATCTTGACTTTGTGCATAAACGAGCGTAACGGATGTAGGTCCAGTACTTTTTTTAAAGAAAAACTGAACCAAAGTTTGTTTTTTAATGTAAAACCAACAACTTTTAATAACGATATAAACTAATAATTACTTATCTTGTGTCTAGCACATACTGTTTCTTTGCGAAAAATAAGTTAGTTTTCAAGATTTGATGACAAGGAAATTGCTCGTTCATGAAATCAATTTTTAAATAATCTAAAAAATAATTTTTCAATTTTGTTGTCATTCTATCCTTTCTTGCAATCTAACTACATCCCACACTCTACAAACCATTTAGTATCGATAATTTTTTAAAAAAAAGAGTATATAGGTATCTGCAGGAGCATCATCAGGAAATATAACCAACCACTAAAGCTCCACACAGCACAACATATTATTGTAACGTATTAGCCAGCGTGCCTCATGGCATCTATTTGGGGACTCTTGGAAGAGGATTAGTCCGCCCACAGAAGAAGGGGTTTTTCCGTAAAGGGAAGAACGCGGAAACGGGAGACACAAGGGTGTCCTTCCGGCTTATAGAAGCTTTTCACTGTTATAACAAGCGAGGGGGTGGCGTGACGTTGTATCACGCGTGAGCCTTCGCCTATATAACAGAGTGTACAGAGCCAGTGGGGGGGGGGTGTCTTGGAACAGTGGGAGAACCTCGTGCGTGTGCACAAAACTTGGCGCCCACGACGGTGCGTATGCGAGCCAGGCTCGCGGCTCGAGTCCACTAGTTATGGAAGCCTGCGGACTTTATGTCCTTGGGTGACTGCGGTCACGGGGGAGCGATGCTGTGTGCGTGCCGCCGAGGTGAAGAGTGGTTGAGTGCCACGATTCACGCCGATTCAATCGGATAAGATCGCTCCTGCGATCGAGGCAAACCAGCCGTTGTTGCGCCAGAACGGAACTTTTGTGTCCCAGCCGTGACATCCGGTCACGGAAGCTAGGCTTTGTGCGCGCTTCAAAAGTAGGAGTGGCGAATGCCACAAGCAAAACCATCTTCAATCGGGTTTGGACGGCTCCCCGCATCAGGGGATAGTAGGTCTATCAGAGCTAGGTGTAAGTAGATTATTAGTGTATATATTTGTTTTGTTTTCTTGTTAATCAATATATTTGTTTATACGAAAGCTCTGTGTCTGTGGTCGCTGTGAGTATCACATGACGTCCACATTATATTGGTGGAGCTTTGGGAGCCACGGAATACGGTGTCACGCTCTGTCGAGAAGTGACGCTTCGCGCGGGCCAGCGTGTTTCGCCTGCCCCCGAACGCCCCACTCCGCCCTGCTCCGAATTCACCGCTTGCTAGCGGGGACGCGTTCCGCTGTCGACGGACGCCGCCCCCCTCGCCCCCCTCGCCACCCCAGCTCTCAGGCCAAAGCCCCTCGGCCATTTTGTCGCCGATCGATCATAACGCCCTTGGTGCATAAATAACTATTCTAATCAAGCCACACGTTCCCTTTATCCTCAATGAATGTTTAAGAACAAAATATTTTAAAGTATTTGAAAAAGTATCTAAAATTCACTTATGTAACTGTCATTTTGAAACGTGATTCTACGTTTCACCGTCAGACCTGAGAAATTAATAACTTCATCTGGGGCCGTGTGATGAATAAGTGATTCGCAGGCTATTATCGAGGTGACAGTATCGATGGTTGTTTTGAATTTGAAGATGTGTGCGTTGGTTTTTGGTGTCCGCGCGTGCGTTAGTTGACCGCCGTTAGAAGCGCGTTAGTTAGAAGAACTAACTGCAGTTGAAAGTTCAGGCTGTTGAGGGCTGTTTTTAAGGACTGGCCAATTTAATCGTAGGAACATTTTTAATATTTGCAGTTATTCAGTAATGAATGGTTATGTGCTCATTTGTTGTATTATTAAGAGAAACAGATTTCTTTTTATGAACATTCTGCATGGGGTGTGTTTGAAAAACGTTCTTTTCAAACTAGTCTTAAAGTACTACATCGGTTATTCACATAGAATAAAGTATACTGATCTGTACAAGAGGGCAATATATTATTTTGCCCGATTAACATAACGTAGTGTGCAGAGTCGCCAGGAAGGCACAGCCAGAGGATAATATTGGGTGGATGCACATTTCACATGGATCCATTTCGCATGGATTCACATGGATCAGTGATATGTTACAAGAATGAATCAATGATGATAGACACGACGATCAATGAGTTGACGACTCATTAAACTAGATACGGCTAAGTGTAGTTCAGAGCCAACATTTCGTCAGTCTCTGAATTGTCTCTGAACGAGAGGTCGAAGGGTCCGACTCGCGGTTGCAGTATTTTCAACACTAGCTTGTCAGGTAGGTCGAGTTAAGCCGCTGTCTAGAGAAGAATTCTAGCGGCCGGCTGCTCTGATCGGTAGTTTTCCGTGGTTTCTCCGATCAACATCGCCCCAGTCGGTACAAGCTCCTTACCGGTCTCCCGGCATGTGTAACGCATGATAGTGCATGTGTAAGTAAGGGGTGAGGATAGGACAAAGAAGAAAAAAGATCGCACTTCGCCCGTTTTTAGGATATTGTGGTATGTACTGGTCAGAGGAACCACTGAAGAGTACCGATCAGAGCAGTCGGTCCCCAGGATTTTCCTCTAAGCAACCGCTGAAGTCGACCAAGATAATTGTCGAAAATACGTCGATACCTCTCGGTCCTCCCTGGACCTCTCGGCCTGAGTCGCCGCAGACTCAATATCTACGAATGATTCAGCGAATTGGTTTAGGAACCGTCCCTAAATTGTATTGTGCATGGGTAGGAGTATGCAATATTTGCTATAACTAAGGCAACGTGAAATAGCGAACCTCACAGGTAGCCAAGAAATTATTATACTTTCTCACAATGACATACATTACTTGTGTGACCCTCTATAAGATCAAATAAACTACGGCCGTTGTCAATGAAATAACATATGTAGGTAATGTAGGTGTGTGGGTTGTAAATGATAGGACATAAATATGGCCCACCGGTCGCTTTGGGCGAGCTAAACCGCGTTGATTCGTAGGTCATTTTATTTTTAACCCGTTCCCAAATGTGTCACCAGAGGCGCTCCCACC